TAAGTTCGTCCGTCGTCGTGTGAATATCACACTCGTCACGGGCCGCCCACGTCACATGGGCGCGGTTTCGCACGCCCATTTCACAGCCACACTCACTTTTGCACGCACTCACACACCGGAGGGGAGAAGGTGTCCGCCGCGGCCGCGTCCTCAGCGCGACCCGTCCGAGTCCGTTTCGGAGCGCGGTCTGCGCACGAACATGTACTTGAGGGTCGCCACCTCGCTCGCCAGCCGCTCCAGCTCGGATCTGAGGTGTGTGTTCTCGTACTCCAGGCTGTCTTCGGCGTCCCCGTGCTGCTGCTGCTGCTGCTGCTGTGGGGGGGACGACTGCTGCTGCTGTGGGTGCTGCTGGTGGTGGTGGTGGGAGTGGTGGTGATGGTGCTGTTGCTGCTGCTGGTAGTGCTGCATGGGCAGGCTCGGCTGTGTTCTGCTGTTGGAGATGGGCGAGGAGCTGGTGTCCGACGTCCGGTGGTAGTCGGAGCACGGCGAGGAGGAGGAGTAGCTGATGCCAGAGTCGCGCTCGTCCGAGGAGCCGACGGAGTCCTCGGCGGCCTCGTGGTGGCCGTCGTGGGGCTCTGTCTTGATGCCGTGCAGCGCCAGCAGCGACTGCGCGGCGTCCTTGTCGCCTAGGTGGCTCTTGTGACGAAGCTTGTGTGGCAGAGACGAGCCGGCCTCGCTGACGGGCGAGCGGCGCGACAGCTCGACGTCGCTGGGCGAGTAGTCCATGTGGGACGACGGCGAGTGCGACGACGACGACGTGGACGTGCGGGCGGATAGGTTGAGGGCGTTCTGGCTGTGGTAGAGGTCGCTCGCGGACGTCGGTGGGTACTGTTGCGAGGGCGCGTCGTAGGGGCTCTCGTGGTCGTCCATCTGGACGGGCGGGGCGTAGTGGGAGTACTGCGAGGGAGACTCTGGGTCCTGGAAGTGGGCATTGGGGGGCGGGGGGCTGGAGGCGCAGCTGCCGTTGGGGCTGAGGAGCGACGTGACGGAGGGGGGGCTGCCCAGGGTGATGAGCGCCTGCGAGAACTTGGTCCGCTTGTTGAGGATCTGCTCCGTCTGCGGCATGTTGGCGATCACTTGGTCCATGTTGATGAGCGTCTCGCCCAGGATACCGTACTTGTCCTTGATGGCGTTGAGCTGGGCCTTGAGCACGTGGTTCTCCTTGGAGAGCTCAACGACGCGCTGCTCGAGGATCATGTCGTTGAAGCGCCTCTTCTCGCGGGACCGCTTGGCCGCCTCGTTGTTGCGGCGCCGCCGGTCCCAGTACGACTCGTCCTTCTTGTTCTCGGGGATGAACTCGCGCTGCTTGCGCTGCGTGAAGATCTCCTTCTTGCGGAGCTGCGCGGCGAGTTCCAGTGTGGAGGGAATGCTCAGGCCGGGGGCGCCCAGGCCTACGGGTGTGTCCTGCCCACCCTGCAGGCCCTGCGACGGCTGCGCCTGCTGCTGAGCCTGCTGCTGGGCCGCCTGCTGTTGTTGCTGCTGCTGAGGCTGCTGCAGCTGTGAAGAGGCCTTGGAGTCCATGATGTGGCTGGGCGAGTAGTTGGCCGCGTGCAGCAACGAGGACGAGCACGTGTTGTAGCCGAGGCCCGCCACGGATGGCGACAGCGGGATGAGGGCCGGGTAGTTCACCGGGTACTTCACCGTCTCAGCAACCATAATTTGATGCTGGAGAACATCTGTGGAACAAAGAGAGAGCGCGTTAGTGGCGGCGACACAAAGAACACGTGCCTAAATAATATTCCTAAAATAGTAACTTATATTCTACCGATGCGTAAGAGTTAGGATTTTATCATTTTCTAAAGTTTCACCCTGTATTAAAGCCCCAGAGGATGTGGTACTGGCGGGGTCTGATAGCAAGAGATAATGTTACGTAACAGCAGGGTAGTTGACGGAGGGGAGAAGAGATAGGAAGAGGAGGAGGACAGGATAGGAGGAGAAAGGGGAGGAGGGAGTAAGAGGGAGCAATAGGAGAGGAGGAGGAGGAGGAGGAGGAGGAGGAGGAGGAGGAGGAGGAGGAGGAGGAGGAGGAGGAGGAGGAGGAGGAGGAGGAGGAGGTGGAGGGGGGGGGAGGAGTACGAGTGGGGGATGGGGGCTGGTTATAAAACTCTTTGTTGTACCTGCTGAGCACTTTCATCCCTCCAACCTCCCAACCCCTTAAGGTATGATAGCCACCCGTCTGGTGCTCAGCGTTCTGAGCTTAAAACAGAATAGGAGGTCGATCAAAAGGACATCCACACCGAAAGGGAGGCGACGCAACACCACTGCAAGAATGCACCCCGACGGACTACACTTCCGGTAGGGGTTAGCTGGTTACATGATGTGTTCGTCTGTGCGTTGGTGGCTGTGTGTGCGTCGTTTGTGTGTGTGTGTGGGGGGGATCTGTGTGCGTGTAGGATATGTGTGCGTGTGGGATCTGTGTGTGTGTAGGATATGTGTGCGTGTGGGATGTGTGTGCGTGTATATGTGGAGATGTTTGTTTGTATGAACTGTGTTGTGTGTATGTAAGCTTGTAGTTGTGTTTGCTGTTTGTATATCTTTGAGAGTTTCTATGTATTCTGTGAATGATGACTTTCCGTTTCTTCATGCGTGTCTACATGTAGCGTCTATGTACGTGCGCATGAACTGGTGTATACGCGTGTGCGTGCGTGCGTACGTGAATGTATCTGGGGACGCCGACCCTTGTGAGGCCCCGCAACGGGTGTGCACGACTGCAACATCGCCTGCATTGCAACCCATACGAAGGTAAGAAGAGAAAACAGATACTGCAAGAACCAGAAAGACGTGGAAGAAGAAGAAGAGGATGAAGAAAAGGATAAAGAAGAAAAAGTAGAAAAAGAAGAAAAGGAAGAAGAAGGAGAAAAAGCCACAGAAGGAGAACAACAGATGAAGATCAAGACGTAGCAACAACATTCAAAACAATCCACTCGAAGATAGTTATTCATAAATCATATACGTTCCCGTATCTTCCTTCCTCCTTACGAAAGGGAGATACGATTTCAACAAACAACATTTAACGAAGAATAACGAAGCGCATAACGACGACAGGAATTGTCTTACGTCATCACAACAGATGTCACGTGACCTAATCCGAAGGGGGAGGGTGACGGATAGCTAATTAACACGTCTGGGAAAGGTCATGTAGTCGTGCATGACCTGTTGCTAAGGTAACAAGCCGTGGAAGAATGGGGGGGGAGAGAATGCAGTAGGGTGAGAGGGCACTATCGCTTGCTCTCTCTTGTCTCTCTCTCTCTTCCTCATCTTCTGCTTCTCCCTTTTCCATAGCTCTCTCCTTTCCTTGGCTTCCCTTGGTCCTGCATCGCCACGCCTCCCCCGCCTACCCCTCCCTCTCTTTCCCTCCCTCCCTTCCCCCCTCTCTCCCTCCCCTTTCCCCACCAACGCAAGCACAGCCACTGCCAGATATACATTTATCTAATTTATCCCTCCCTTCTTCCTCAACCCCCCCCTCCCCTCCATTCCTTCCTCTTCTTTGGCTCATGAAGGCAGTGACGTCAGTGCCTGTAGCAACACCTCCAAGCACAGGCAAGCACATGCAAGCACACACACGCACACACATACATTCACCCACCCAACACCCACGCCCTCTGCCTGGGTACGAATGTGTTCGGACTGCCAGACGGGCGGCGGGCAGGCCAAAGCAGCTCGTCTCTATTTCGTGATTCTCTTCCTGCCCAATGCTTTTAAAATAACAGTGATCTCTCGGCTCCAAGCTCAAATCCTTTTCGATGACTCACTCTCCTGATAACTTCGATTAACCAGGTTTATTTTGGGATCTTTGGCATCGTTATGGAGGGAGATAGCGTCAGTTCTAAGAATAAAAAAACTGCGTTTTTTTCCCGCAAGAGATTCCGTACTTTCCGGGGTCGAAGACAAGGCCATTGCAAGCCAGTCGGAAACGTGGCATCCACCCGAAGGTTACCTAACGTTCAACCAAGTTTCTAATTATACAACTATGTCAAAAATAAAACTGGAATCAACTAGATACTTGAACTTCACGCACACATACAAAAAATAAATAAATAAAAATACACTCAAAGCTTTTCCCTTTTAGAGAGGAAGGTACACATATAAACAAATAAATAAATAAATGGATGAATAACGAGGAGACGAAAGGACTAACTTACATTTACTCGGTTTCCCGTTTTCCCGTCGTCCGAAAATGCAAGTGAAAAGACTTCGTCCACGATAGACTTCATCAGACTTCAGTCAAGCAAAACCATAATCCAATCAAACCAGACTTCAGTACAGCAGCCTCGGATTAGATGAAAGCTCAACCAAGGACTTCAGTCGACTTAGACTTCAGCTAGCCAAAATTTTCAGTCAAACTTCAGTCATGAGAGCGTAGGTGCGCGCCCGTGCGTGTGTTCGCCTTCCCTCTCTCGACTGCGGCGTCTACTACACTGCCGTACTAACTTCCCCGGCAGCGACGACCTCTAAAAGGGGGTGTGGGGGGTGATGTGGTGTGGGGGGGGAGGGAGTTGATGGCGTTACTTGCTGTCCTCAGCACGCTACTACTTTGTTTTGTAACTTCCCCCCGCCAGCACGCCCGTCTGCGATATTTGAGATTTTATATTCTACTTTTCGGTTCGTTGTGGGGAAATCTGTCTTAGCATATGGACGGATAAGGGGGTGTCTTCTACTTGTATAATGGATGGAAGAAAATGCGAGAACCACAAGGAATGAAGGGTAATCTCAAGAGAAAATACTGGCGGGTATCGTCATTATTGCTATGTACCTCACTCTCGTCTCTCCATCTTTTTCCTCTTTTTTCTATATAAAGGAACGCAGTATGTACCATGACGGCGCCCAAGAGCAAAGACAAGCGTCCGAAGAAATATGGGAATCCTTGAAGCAAAGGACAAAATGGAGCGAGAGCGATGATGCAACACGACGGTTCGGACGAGTGCGCATGAACCCGACTTTGGCTTCGTCTCCGCTACCCTCCCCTCATCCGTGCTCGATTGCATAATATCCATTCATTACACAATGTAAATGAAGCAACGCAGGACGAGAGGGAGAGGGAGATCCGCCTCGATCCCTTACTCTCATTCTCCCTATCTCTTTTTCTCCCTAGTTTTCTTTCTCCCACTTTTACCTTCCTCTCTTCCCTTAACCCTCCCCTTACCCCAGCGCGCAGAACCGAAGAGAAGGTAAATTTGCTGTCCCTTTTCGCGAAATTCCACGCAGCGTCTGGAGTGCCATGACGCTGGGAGAAGAGGGGAGAGAGAGAGAGAGAGAGAGAGAGAGAGAGAGAGAGAGAGAGAGAGAGAGAGAGAGAGAGAGAGAGAGAGAGAGAGAGAGAGAGAGAGAGGTGGGGGGGGGGGGGAGGAGAAGAGAGAAGAGCTTTCGCGTGGGACTACGATCAATCTCGACACCAGCCTCGACTTTGGAAAAAGAGAGAAAACGTGTTTGCAACTTGTTTGTGCAGCTCGCTCTTCCTTTGAATTTCAATAGGGGGAGGGGGGTAGGGAGGGGGGTAGGGAGGGCGGAGGGGGTAAGGATGGGATGGGATGGGATGGGATGGGATGGGGTTGGGGTTAGGGGGGGGGGATGGAAAGCGTGCGAAGAAAACTGGAAAGAGGGTGGGGAGGAGCAGAAGGTGGGGGAGGGGGGAGTGAGGGGGGAGGCTACGGGAGGAAAGGTGGACGGGGGGGAGGCGAAGGGGAAAGGGGAGGGAGGGGAGAAGGGAGAGGGGGGAGGAGGGGGGGGGAGGTAGGAGGAGGATGTTGTATAAAGGAAGGTAAAGCCGGGCGGGTCACGTGACACCCAGCTCACGTGAGATGCCAATATCGACTGGCTCTTGTCTCCATGTGAAAGCGTCCGTGGGTGGCGGTGGGGGAGTAAGGGGGGGGAGGGGATAGGAAGAGGGAGAGAAAGCGATGGAGATAAAGGGAAGGAGGGGAGAGAGAGAAGGAGGAGGAAGGGGGGGGAGGTAGGAGGAGGATGTTGTATAAAGGAAGGTAAAGCCGGCGGGTCACGTGACACCCAGCTCACGTGAGATGCCAATATCGACTGGCTCTTGTCTCCATGTGAAGCGTCCGTGGGTGGCGGTGGGGGAGTAAGGGGGGGAGGGGATAGGAAGAGGGAGAGAAAGCGATGGAGATAAAGGGAAGGAGGGGAGAGAGAGAGAGAGAGAGAGAGAGAGAGAGAGAGAGAGAGAGAGAGAGAGAGAGAGAGAGAGAGAGAGAGAGAGAGAGAGAGAAAATAAAAAAAACGGAAATCCTCCCCCCCCCCCCCCCACCGCCCCCCCCCCCAAAAAAAAAAAAACAATAATAAATAACTAAATAAGCATAGAGGCCCGTCCATCCATCCTGAATGATGATGCTCCCCTGGCCCAGATTGCTTTCAAACAGCCACAAACTCGACAGTGCTTTGAATCAAACAGCTCCGACATGTTGCACCATAAGCGGCTGTTTAAGCTTCCCGACCTACATTGAATCAGGCAAAGGTTAACGGGTCAGAGAGGAGGAGGAGGAGGAGGAGAAGGAGGAGGAAGAGGAGGAGGAGAAGAAGAAGGAGGAGGAGGAGGAGGAGGAAGAGGGGGAAGAGGAGGAGGAGAAGGAGGAGGAGGAGAAGGAGGAGGAGGAGGAGGAGGAAGAAGAGAAAGAGAAAGAGGAGGAGGTGAAGGTGGAGGAGAAGGAGGAGGAGGAGGACGTTGAAGATGAGGATAAAAGAGATAAGAAAATGGAGGAGAAAGAACAGAGAAAGAGGACTGGGGGAGACGAAATTAAAAAAAGGAAGAGAAGGAGAAGGAGAAAGAATCAAAAGAAAGGAAATTAGAAACTCGAGAAAGAAGAGAAATGAGAGGATAAAAAGAAGAGGAAAATGAGGATGAGGATGAGCGAAGCCGAAGCCAGAAACTCTCCTACGGAATGGGACAAGGGCGTCGCACCTTGGCCTTACGCAACACAACGAACAGATGTTACTTAAGAGATCTGAACTTGTAAGATCTTCACTCAACGAAGCCGAACGCACACGTGATGAGAAGAAGAGAATAAAAATGTGAGAAGAAAACGAAAGAGAAGCAAAACAGAATTGGAAAAAAAGAGAGATTAATGAAAAAGGCAGGAAGAAGAAGACACGCCAGGACGAATATTCTGATGAAGGAGGGAGGAGAAAAAGATAAATAAAAATAAGGAGAAAATATAGGATGATTATGAAAGCTCTTCATAAAAGGATGAAATAAAATATATATAGGCAACGTCCTCCTCCATCACGTAGCTCTCTCAGGTAACTTTGTTATGTAAGGTATAAATAACCCTCGTCGTTAAGTGAAAATTATATAATCAGTTGCGCTTTGCTTCATGTTGTGTTTTATTCATCTATGCTATTATTAATGTTACCATTAATTATGGTACTTTAATTCTAATAATCATAATAATTGACAACAAAATCACCACCATCCATACAAACAACGAGTTATTACTATCATCATCATCATATCCTCTTGTGTCTTCCTCTCTCATTCCTCCTTCCTTCTCCTCTCCTCCTCCTTTCCTCCTTCTCTTGCTACTAAGACCGTTATAAGTGAGTAGTGCAGGGAGGGGGGGGGGTCACAGGAGGCCTGGTCGGGCGAGGGGCCGACGGGGGGCGAGGGGGGACACGTGCCACTGGGGTCGCGTGTCTCGCCCTCGCTCGCTCTCTTTCTCTCGCTTTTTCTCTCTTTCTCTCGCTTTTTCTCTCTTTCTCTCTTGCTTCTTCACTCGTTCTCTCTCTCGCTTTCTCGCTTCTTCCCTCGCCCGTGCTCTCTCGTTCTTGTTTATTTTGTTGCTGTTGGTTTCTCGCTTTTTCTCTTTGCTTCTTACCATTTTCTCGTGATGCATATTGAGATATTTGTAACTTGCAATATTCATTGAGAGTTCATTATCATTTTCCTCTGCAGAGAGACAGAGAGAGAGAGAGAGAGAGAGAGAGAGAGAGAGAGAGAGAGAGAGAGAGAGAGAGAGAGAGAGAGAGAGAGAGAGAGAGAGAGAGAGAGAGAAGAAGAAAGAACGCCAAGCTGAGCGAATTGAAGTGGGACGCCTTGGCTCGCCGCCGCCGCTCGGTGCAATGGGTCTCATGACGTAACAAGAACGGCCCGGCCCAGGGAGGAGGAGGAGGAGGAGGAGGAGGAGGAGGAGGAGGAGGAGGAGGAGGAGGAGGAGGAGGAGGAGGAGGAGGAGGAGGAGGAGGGGGAGGAGGAGGAGGGGGAGGGGGAGGGGGGAGTAAGGAAGGAGAAGGCGAAGGGGGAGGAGGGGGAGGAGGAAGAGGGGGGAGGAGAAGGCGAAGGGGGAGGAGGGGGGGTAAGGAAGGAGGAGAAGGCGAAGGGGGAGGAGGGGGAGGAGGAGAAGAAGGAGAGGAACAGGAAAAGATATAACAAAGGATGAAGAAGAAGACGAAGAAGGAGGAGACGACGAAACAAGAAAGGATAAGAGAAGAAAATGCTGGCGGGGGCTGTCGCGATGCCGCAACTCTTGGGATATTTTTCTCGAATACTTTTGGCATTCATGAGACGCCGCCGCCGCGCGCTGCTCGCTGAGTAACCCAACTGTCAAGGCTATTTTTAGGGCGTCGGAGCCTCGGGTCTCTGCACGGCGAGCTTTTTTGCTCTCTCTCTCTCTCTCTCTCTCTCTCTCTCTCTCTCTCTCTCTCTCTCTCTCTCTCTCTCTCTCTCTCTCTCTCTCTCTCTCTCTCGCCTTCTTTTCCTCCATCTGTCTGTATGAGTACGTGCTGTGAAGGGATGTCCAGTTTCTTAACTTTCCGTTTATTTTTGTTGGGCGAATGCTGAAGTCATCTTAGAGGTGCGTCTGGGCACGTACCCACCACACAGCCGTTCTGCCATCCTCTCAACCCTATGCCCCTTACCCCTACCCTCTCCCCATCCCATCCACCCCAGGGCCCACCCATCCCAGTGCCCATACCCCATCCACCCCATACCCCATTCATCTCACCTCCCTCCCTGGCCCTCCGACGCGACGTCCAAGCTGGCCGTACCGAGTGACCCGCGCGAGACCCGAAGGCTGAGTGAAGATTGCGGGTCTCCCCCTCCCCCACTCCCCCCCACAATCAAGGCAGCCGAGATAAGGTTATCGTACACGCCTCTCTCTCTCTCTCTCTCTCTCTCTCTCTCTCTCTCTCTCTCTCTCTCTCTCTCTCTCTCTCTCTCTCTCTCTCTCTCTCTCTCTCTCGGCGATTGATAGATAACTAATCACTTCCTCTTGCTGGGAGTCAAGTTCAAAGATGAGAGAGAGAGAGCGAGATAGAGGGAGATGTGGAGTGAAAGCGAAGGAAGGGAAGGAGAAAAAGGGAGAGGATAGAGAAGAGAGAGAGAAATATCCAGACAGAAAGATAGAAAGATCGAAGTAAGAAGAGAAGGAAATAAGAGAAAGAAAATATAAGACGGAAAATGGCAAGACCTACCACTTATCCTTCGCACAACATCGACTTAAACAAGCAACTAAATCCTCCAGCGATGAAAGCAATGACGTTTCGATTCCCCTTCCTTCACCTCGCTGGCCCGGCCTTGAGACAACGCACAAGGAAGCCAGGGCAGGCAGCAGACCAGGCCAGCCAGTCTGCGGGACACGTGCATGTCCGAGATTCGAGAAAGATCGCTTTTGATGCTTGGAATCGTTCTTGTAGTAAGTTTGTAAGTGTGTAGGTGTGTGTGTGTGTGTGTATGTAAGAGTAAGTGTGAATGTTAGTGTGTGAATTGTATTTTGATATTTTGATGGGTGTTGGTATGCATGGTCATGTCACTGCAATATTCTGGTGTAAAGCATTCTCGTAAGGCACCGTACAGAAGAATTTTAAATCCAAACAGTTCAAACAAAATCATTCCTTCACACAATGAACAATCCCTAAACACACCAAGAAAACCCTTTAACCATATAGGAAAGACAAAAAAAATACACACACACATATATAACGTAGTGATTGTGATATATACATATATATATATATATATATATATATATATATATATATATATATATATATATATATATATATATATATATTTATATTAGATAAACATAACAATCACACACACATACACAGCCAAGGGGCAAGCCAATCACACCAAACACACACACCGAAGTCCTATGAAGACGTCACAACAAGGCTGGCAGACGTCAGAGCGGATGCAAGGTTCGACGTCATAGCCTGTGAACTCTGGAGGATGAGGAGGATGCAGAAGAGAACTTTTAAGGAGTGTCGACGTGGTTTTACCCCACATCGCGAAGTCATCACTGTACTATATATGTTTGACTTCCGCTCTTGTTTTGTTATTTTTCTTTTTATCTTATTATTTAGAACAAATGATACTCCTTTTCAAATGAATTCATTTTCTAGATTCATTTTCATTGTGCTCTCCCCATGGAGCTTCCGTTGACACTTACTGCTTCTATGAATGATGGCCGTCATCTTGGCTGTAGGTCTTCCAAAACAGTGTAGTGAGTGGAACGTCAAGTTTTATTTGTTTTGTTTTTTATTCTTGTTACCGGAAAAAAATGTTTTAACACACTCTCTTGCGCAGTGTCTTGTTTCTAAGACTCACAATGTTTCCTTACACAAAAGAAAACCGATCAATTTTCTTATTCACAGTCACGCACGTGTTTCCATTCACGAAGTCGAAAAGTAAATGCACAATCACTAAGTTATTATTTTTTCTGTCACTGTCAGCACTTGGACTTGAGTCGAAGTCCATTAAAGCTCCAGGTATAAGTCCACGCACGAGGACTCCTTTCACTGTAGCGTCTCCTGTTGGAATAACGTAAGTCCAACTCGATGTCACAGTGTATCTTCTTCACTGCTGCTACTGCTGATCATGCAACTGCATCGTGCAACCCGCCGGAGACAACTGAAGACGCACGCCGGAGGTACAGCTGACGAGTGCCTCTGCTCTGCCTCACGATTTTCCCTCATGGTTCTCTTCCCTCCCTCATGACCCAGTTCCTCGCCTCCGCCTCCTCTTGCGATCCGAGTTTCCATCGGTCCTGCTGTCACGGGTCCGTCACGCCCGCTTGCCTCCGATGGGTTCAAGGTTCGTGTCGTTCGGCGCTTTTTTCGCGGTGTCTCTTTGTGTCTCTTTCTCCACCACCCACCGGCGTCTCAAGTTCACGTCTCGCAAAGGGCCTGTGACCCTGGCCCAGCAATGGCCCGCCGAGGAAATCAAGTTCACAGCCGCTGGAGCGTGGCTGCACCGCTTTCTCTTCCTCCTCCTGCACCTCCTTCTTCTTTTCTTCTCTTCTCGCTCCTCCTCCTCCTCCAGCTGGCAGACGTCTTCAGCTGCCAACCATCCAACCATGCAACCTACATCCATCCAGCTTTCGACTGCACTTTCCACTCGGTCCACCAGCACGATAGAGCACCAACACTCGCAACCACTCTAATGATGATGATAATAATAAACAATAACTTTCCACCTATTCGCAACGGGCACAATCAACAGCAGGTGTAAAGGCAGAACTCCGATTGAACTTACCCACTAAAGAAAATATAAGTGAAGTTTCAGCCTTCCGAAAAGGCCTTGCTGGTGGCTAAGTCAAAACCACGGGGTACGTCTATGATAGCTTGGGACTACACACTGAGTTGTATCACCAGAGGATTCGCGCTCCAAACTAAACTCTGGTAAAGAAGGTTTGTATACTATATGTTCTCGAGCGCTTTGCCCGCTCTAGTGGCTCTAGCCAATCACACATGCGCACCGGGCGAAGGGGGCGGGACTCGCGTGACGTCATGGATAAGGCTCTGTTACGTTGCTTAGTGACGTCACCGTGTGTCCCGGGAAGCCGCGTTGCGTAATTCGAACAGGTTGACAGATGCCTGTGTACACAATGCCTACTCTAAAGCCGCTAATCTCCCCCCATCTCGACTTAAATCATCACGGGAGGAGATATTACACTACGGAAAGTTTGAGAAGAAGTCTCTCTTTATTTTGATCACTCTGGAAGAGCGAGAGGTTAAGCTCTTGCGAGGAAAGTAGGCGGGGCGAAAGGAGTCTGAGGGGAGGGGCTTCTCGAGAGGGAGAGAGGAGGGGAGGGGGGGGAGGCCGCACGTTGCTACGCTGGCCCGGGTCACTCGCTCGACAACTCTCAGCCGGAAATATGAACACAAAAAAAAAGAAAATAAAGAATTCGGGGGATTCCTGACGTAATCAGGACACCGGCGCAGAGGAAGGACTTGTAAAAGGAGTTGTATGAACTATTTTCGAAGCGCTTAGAGGATAAGACGACCGGAAGATGGCGTGACATAGCCGGAGATATGTGGCGGCAGAAGGAAAGAAAAAGCAGGAAGTCTGATATGCGGGGGCTGAACAAACGTACGTTTTACGGGATATCGCCGTGAACTTTCGTCAAAGAAAATAAATAAACACAACGAAAACAAACACGGACAATTACAAACATGGACGTTACAATACTATACTATCAACGTAGAGACCAGAGAGTTCACACGCGAGTCCATAGGAACACTCATACATACATACACGCGGTTACGTCATC